CGTAGAAGCTTGAAACGACTATGTAAAGTTGTGTGAAAAAGAAAGTACACCCTCTTTGAATTCTATGTATTTAAGTAGCAGGGCATAATAAAAATCTGTTCCTTAGCAGGTCCTAAATTAGGCAAATACAACGTCAGATGTTCAATATCACTGTGTCATTATTTATTTTACAAAAAAAGCCAAAATGGAGAAACCATGTGTGAAAAACTAAGTATACCCTTAGCGAGTCCATAGGAATTAAGAGGCTAAGTAGCAGACAGACGTTGCTAATCGAATGCCCTTGATTAATTGATCATCAGCAAGTGTGACCACCTCTATAAAAGCTGAGGTTTAGCAGTTTGCTGGGCTGGAGCATTTAGGTGTGTGTTAACACAATGCCAAAGAGGCAACACATCAGCAATGATCTTAACAGAAGCAATTGTTGCTGCCCATCAATCTGGAGGGGATTATAAGTACATTTCCAACAATTTAAAGTCCAGCATACAGTGGGGAAGATTATTCACAAGTGGAAAACAATCAAGACAATTGCCAATCTTTCCATAAGTGGACGTCCCAGAAAATTCACCCCAAGGTCAGACTGCTCAGAGAAATTGCAAAAAACCCAAGAGTTACATTTCAGACTCTACAGTCCTCAGATCACATGTTAAATGTTAAAGTTCATGACAGTACAGTTAGAAAATGACTGAACAAGTATGGTTTGTTAGAAAGGGTTGCCAGGAGAACGCCTCTTCTCTCTAAAAAGAACATGGCAGCATGGCTCAGGTTTGCAAATATGCATCAGAACTACAAGGCTTCTTTGGACAGATGAGACCAAAGTAGAGATGTTTGGCAATAGTGCACAGCGCCACATTTAGCGAAAACCAAACAGCATGCCAGCACAAACACTTCATACCTACTGTCAAATAAGGTGGTGGAGGGGTGATGGTTTTGGCTTGTTTTGATACCACAGGACCTGAGCAACTTCCAGTCATTGAGTTGACCATGAACTCTCCTCAGTACCAAAGTATTCTAGAGTCAAGTGTGAGGCCATTTGTGCGACAGCTGAAGCTTGGCTGAACTGAGTCATACAACAGCACAATGATCCCAAGCACACCAGCAAATCTATATCAGAATGGCTGAAGAAGAATCATGGTGTCGCAATGGCAAAATCAAAGTCGAGACTTCAATCTAATAAAAATGCTGTGGTGGGACCTTAAGAGAGCTATGCATACACAAATGCCTGCAAACCTCAATGAACTGAAGCAACATTGTAAAGAAGAGTGGGCCAAACTCCCTCTATGACGATGTGAGAGACTGATAAAGTCATACAAAAAAATGATGACTTCAAGTTATTGCTGCTAAAGTTGGTTCTACAAGCTATTGAATCATAAGGTGTACTTGGTTTTTTACACATGGCTTCTCCATTTAGACTTTATGTTTGTAAAATAAAAAATGACAGTGTAATATGTTGTGTGTTGTTGTTCATCTGAGGTTGTAGTTACCTAATTTTAAGACCTGCCAAGGATCAGATGATCTTGTTTTGTCCTGATACTTAAAACCAAAGAATTCAATGAGGATGTACTCTTTTTTTTTCATCACAACTGTAGTTTACACTAAATGGCTCAAAAATATGCAGCTGTATGTAGGCTATAAATCAGAAGACTCAGACAGTCAGCCAAGTGGCAAAAATGCATTTGCATTTTTCTGAACACTATTGATAAGTGAGGAATAGTTATCTTGTTTTCGGGATTTGACATGGCATCGAATATGCAAATAACCATCCGTTCTACAACGGCTATTCAGTATGTCACATTGGTTAAGTGAAGAGCTTCCTATTTCTTTATAGCGCACCTTGCCAATCCCTGTTGACTTCACTTTAACCCACAGCCCCTAGAATTCACAAACACAGGTTAGTCTGCTGCCTAAAGCCTAAGCTTAAAGTGGAACCATAACCTCCTCCTTAAGACCACAAAATAATGTATTTATTTAGAAACATGAATATTCATCAAAAAAACACTGACGTGTCTACATATACCCCCACCCTCAAGGACACAATTGCAAAAACAACTTCCTCCTCCCCTTAAAAACAGTGTAATGGCTCAAAAGGGTTCCAAAAATAAACAAGAAATCCATTGTTCTGTATAGAAAAATATAAAGTGCAAATTTAGAGACTAGCATTTCCTTAAAGCAGTAGATATATGCAAAAACTTAAAAAACAAAACAACATCCTTTCAAACAGGTTGCAACTTACCTGTGTCTTCACTGCTCGCTCACGTCCGAAAATCCGAAAAATCCCGGGCGGCCGCAAAGGATCTTGGGGCGAGCGCAAGCGCAGTTCAGATTTTCGGCCAGGAGACGAGGAGAGACACAAGGTAAGTCTATGGACAGTGTGCCACCACATGCAGAGACCGTGGAGCAGGAAGTGCCAGCAAGCACAGAGGAGTCAGCGCTGGATCGAAGACCCGCAGCAGCGCTGGAGGGACAGATGAAAACGATAGGAAAGAAGATCGGATTAAGAGACATAATTTAAGGTAAGTCCTGACATTAACTTTGGGGGGGAGGGAAAAAAATGTATGCTTTAATGTCACTTTAATGGCAAATATAAGTCGCAAATCCAGGTATCCATACAGTGAATAATCAATGTAATGATTGAAGCAAATGGCCAAATCAAACCTTAGATGGTATAGATGAAGGTGAGTTGTGTCCACTAAAGAACACATCCAATGTGATAACAATGTTCATGTCTGAAATGGTGAGGAAACTGTGCATCATGAGGTACTTGCAAACGCATATATCAAATAGATAAAGATTGGATCACACCATAAATGCCATCCTCTATGGATGCATGAGTGTTTCATACTGCAGAGATCAACGCTGCTGGAGATCACGGTGTCTTCACATGTAGGGCTGCAGCTAACAATTTTTTTCATAATCGATAGTTAGCCGATTAATCGAATAAAAAAAATAACACTAATTTATTTAAAATAAAATACACAAATGCAGAGTTACAGACATCAGGTTTACTTCAGAATGCAAATTTTTTTGAAACCACACTGCACTGGAAGGCAGGGCATTGCAGTACCGCTCGTTCCAGTGCGGGCGATCACACCGCGGATAGGAGGTGTATTTGGGATCCATTGAAATGAATGGCACCACAACATCTCCGAAAACTGAAAATTACATATATCTATATAGATATATACATATATATATATATATATCTATATAGATATATATATATATATATCTGCTGATTGACAGCAGGCAGTGGGCAGGTGCAACAGCCAGCCGGCAAATGCATGTAAAAAAATCCAATAGCAAGGGTATGGCTCCCAGCCTCTAGATGCCGAAGAGAACAAGGGCAGCAGCAGAGCAACAGGGGGCAGAGGCCAAACGGAGTGGCCCAGAGGAGACGACACAAG